GCAGCTAATGATATGGAGATCTCCCACAAAAGTGATTGTCATACTAAAAGACAGGCGGTAGGTGTTTCGACACAAACACTTTGCGAGTTTCTTTTTTAATTCTTCCACCAGCCTTTCTTTACCTCCCCATCTTCCTTGACTACCTTAGGTGAATACCAGCAGTCTTGAGATTCCCCTGCCGTTATTTTATTCATCATTTTATTCTTCAATGCTCCTCTGCTTATAAAAACCAGCCATGTCTTTCTGAGAAGTAAATTCCTTTTTGCTAGATGTTATACATATTTTGCTTTATTATCTGCATATTTTCCTACAATTTACTTAACTCTCACCCCTTTCCCATACACTGCGTCCTCCTCTATGCCAGTTCCTAGCACATCATTTTTGTGCCATTCCAGTGTCCTCTTCTTTTTGCCCCTAATCCCTATAACTTGTTCCTATTGGCCACCCCTTGTTCCCGCCCCCTTCAGTTCTTGCCCAGTGAGCAGCTGGTATTATAGTGGCTAAGCATGAAAACCTGCAGTTTTAGCAGGGGGCCCCTTCTGTAGTAACCTTCAGCGAAGCTGAAGCCATATAAAATGGCCGATAAATGCATCAGCTAAGCAATTAAAATGTAAAAGCAATTAGCCCAGAGCACATTCTACTTGCTATGCAGTGAGGATGCTGATTTGTAGCAGAAAACTGAGGATGTTTTGCTGAATCCTGGTCTAGTTCATCTCATCTATAGCATCACCTTCAGTATTAAATGTGAGATAAGAGATTTGCATGGTGGCGGTGACCTGACTGCAACCAGAATATGGACGACGACTCATTAAAATGGTATGAACTGGGTATATAATGATAGGGTCTCTACTGGAAAAAAGCACAGAGGAGCACTTTCGTAGGTCTGGTTTCCAATGTACTTTGTCTAATGCACTGTTGGAGCCTTGTTTGCTTCTGTTTGCTGGAGCCTGACCTGGATTTGCACAGTCCTCAAAGCCGCTGACTGGCTTTGGTCTTTGTTACTCTCCTTTTATGTCTTTGTTGAACAAGGTCTCGTGTTTAGGCCACTCCTGCCGACCTGGTGTTTAGTTGCACCACAACCAGAACTTTGTGGTGGTTCCGTCAACACTTCTGGAAGACGACAAGTGGGGGGGGGGGGACGTTTAGACCTTTGGCTCTCAGCACACAAGCAAGGTTGTCTGTTTTAAGGTCCTGCGAGGTATTCAGTAGTGCGGACAAAAGCATGTGGTAAATTGCAGTGTAAGCCTCTACATATCAAGAAAGGACTCTTGGAATAGCAGAGTAAAAGTAATTTGTCCCTCCATTTTAGTAATGCCACAGAGTGTTTTAGATGGAAAGGCTTGGGGCTGGCGGATGGCACTGTTGCCTGGTAACCGTGCGGAGCATGCAGCATGCTGTCACAGGTTGTGGGAGCGGGGGGGCGTCTAGGTGGGCAGGTCACCGGGGTCATTTCTTGAAGATGCAGGGCCACCATGGTATGTGCGGTCAGTGTCTTTTCTGGGTTTGACAGCCTAAGGGCTGATTTGGGCTCTGATTGGCGAAATTGGACGGGCTTGAGCAGCATTGCTAAGACTCCCAGCACCACCTCGCCAGCCTCTCAGAGGGGGGGGGGGGGGGGGGGGGGGGGGGGG